TACTGTCGGGCCAGTACTAGCCAAGTATGATAGTATAGTGTCTGACCAGTCCTAGCCAAGTAAGATAGTATAGTGTCTGACCAGTTCATCTCAAGTATGATAGTATATTGTCGGGCCAGTACTAACCAAGTATGATAGTATAGTGTCTGACCAGTCCTAGTCAAGTAAGATGGTATAGTGTCTGACCTGACCTAGCCAAGTATGATAGTATAGTTTCTGACCATTTCATCTCAAGTATGATAATATAGTGTCTGAACAGTTTATGTCACATATGATAATATACTGTCAGACCAGTCCTAGCTCAAGTAAGATGGTATAGTGTCTGACCAGTCCTAGTCAAGTATGATAGTATAGTGTCTGACCAGTTCATCTCAAGTATGATAGTATACTGTCTGACCAGTCCTAGCCAAGTATGATGGTATAGTGTCTGACCAGTCCTAGCCAAGTATGATAGTATAGTGTCTGACCAGTTCTAGCCAAGTATGATAGTATAGTGTCTGATCAGTCCTAGCCATGTATGATAGTATAGTGTCTGACCTGTCCTAGCCAAGTATGATAGTATAGTGTCTGACCAGTCCTAGCCAAGTATGATAGTATAGTGTCTGACCAGTTCTAGCCAAGTATGATAGCATAGTGTCTGACCAGTTCATCTCAAGTATGATAGTATAGTGTCTGACCTGTCCTAGCCAAGTAAGATGGTATAGTGTCTGACCTGTCCTAGCCATTTATGATAGTATAGTGTCTGACCAGTCCTAGCCAAGTATGATAGTATAGTTTCTGACCTGTCCTAGCAACGTATAATAGTATCGTGTCTGACCTGTCCTAGCCAAGTATGATAGTATAGTGTCTGACCAGTCCTAGTCAAGTATGATAGTATAGTGTCTGACCTGTTCATCTAAAGTATGATAGTATAGTGTCTGACCTGTTCATCTCAAGTATGATAGTATGGTGTCTGACCAGTCCTAGTCAAGTAAGATGGTATAGTGTCTGACCAGTTCATCTCAAGTATGATAGTATAGTGTCTGACCAGTGCTAGTCAAGTATGATAGTATAGTGTCTGACCAGTTCATCTCAAGTATGATAGTATACTGTCGGGCCAGTACTAACCAAGTATGATAGTATAGTGTCTGACCAGTCCTAGCCAAGTATGATAGTATAGTGTCTGACCAGTTCATCTCAAGTATGATAGTATACTGTCTGACCTGTCCTAGCCAAGTAAGATGGTATAGTGTCTGACCAGTCCTAGCCAAGTATGATAGTATAGTGTCTGACCAGTTCATCTCAAGTATGATAATATAGTGTCTGAATAGTTTATGTCACGTATGATAATATACTGTCTGACCAGTCCTAGTCAAGTAAGATGGTATAGTGTCTGACCAGTCCTAGTCAAGTATGATAGTATAGTGTCTGACCAGTCCTAGCCAAGTATGATAGTATACTGTCTGACCTGTCCTAGCCAAGTAAGATGGTATAGTGTCTGACCAGTCCTAGTCAAGTATGATAGTATAGTGTCTGACCAGTTCTAGCCAAGTATGATAGTATAGTGTCTGACCTGTTCTTCTCAAGTAAGATGGTATAGTGTCTGACCAGTCCTAGTCAAGTATGATAGTATAGTGTCTGACCAGTCCTAGCCAAGTATGATAGTATAGTGTCTGACCTGTCCTAGCCAAGTATGATAGTATAGTGTCTGACCAGTCCTAGCCAAGTATGATAGTATAGTGTCTGACCAGTCCTAGTCAAGTATGATAGTATAGTGTCTGACCTGTCCTAGTCAAGTAAGATGGTATAGTGTCTGACCTGTCCTAGTCAAGTATGATAGTATAGTGTCTGTCCTAGCCAAGTATGATAGTATAGTGTCTGACCAGTCCTAGATAGTATGATAGTATAGTGTCTGACTTGTCCTAGCCAAGTAGATAGTATAGTGTCTGACCAGTCCTAGTCAAGTATGATAGTATAGTGTCTGACCTGTCCTAGTCAAGTAAGATGGTATAGTGTCTGACCTGTCCTAGCCAAGTATGATAGTATAGTGTCTGACCTGTCCTAGCCAAGTATGATAGTATAGTGTCTGACCAGTCCTAGCCAAGTATGATAGTATAGTGTCTGACTTGTCCTAGCCAAGTAAGATAGCATAGTGTCTGACCAGTCCTAGTCACGTATGATAGTATAGTGTCTGACCTGTCCTAGTCAAGTAAGATGGTATAGTGTCTGACCAGTCCTAGTCAAGTATGATAGTATAGTGTCTGACCAGTCCTAGTCAAGTATGATAGTATAGTGTCTGACCAGTCCTAGCCAAGTATGATGGTATAGTGTCTGACCAGTCCTAGTCAAATATGATAGTATAGTGTCTGACCTGTCCTAGTCAAGTAAGATGGTATAGTGTCTGACCAGTCCTAGCCAAGTATGATAGTATAGTGTCTGACCTGTTCTAGCCAAGTATGATAGTATAGTGTCTGACCAGTCGTATCCAAGTATGATAGTATAGTTTCTGACCAGTCCTAGCCAAGTATGATAGTATAGTCTCTGACCTGTCCTAGCTATAGCCAAGTAAGATGGTATAGTGTCTGACCTGTCCTAGCCAAGTAAGATGGTATAGTTTCTGACCTGTTGATCTCAAGTATGATAGTATAGTGTCTGACCAGTGCTAGTCAAGTATGATAGTATAGTGTCTGACCAGTCCTAGTCAAGTAAGATGGTATAGTGTCTGACCTGTTCATTTCAAGTATGATAGTATACTGTCTGGCCAGTGCTGGTCAAGTATGATAGTATACGATATGTTCAGTACTAGTCAAGTATGATAGATAGATAGATAGATAGATAGATAGATAAATAGATAGATAGATAGATAGATAGATAGATAGATAGATAGATAGATTATAGATTGTCACTAATCCTTGTGGAAAGTATTTGCTGCAGTACATTGCTATACTATATGCGTTCTGACTGGCCTAACCAGGATAGAGTAAGCTACACCCAGTGGACCGAGACCGAGAAAAAAAATATACGAGTTATGTTTAAATGTCCTGGCATCCGATCCCTGAATAGACATGACAGTTTCGTTGTAGAGAGCGTCAGCTCGACGCTGAAGATAAATCACGGAATTACAGCAGATGGTGTAAGAAAGACATTTCCGAAGCATGACGGAGCGTGTTGAATTGGTCCACAATAGACCATCAAATTCTGTCTGACAATATATTATTTACTTCATGAGAAAATATAAGTGAAGTAGTGCGTGAACTCGGTTTTGATTGACATGTTCATGGACAGGGATTTTCAACTCTTTTGAAATGGGCTCAAGTTGTTTTAATACTGGTCATATTGCCAAATCAAGCAAGTGTATCGAATCATGTCTTTCAAAGAGACCACGTGACACTGACCAGTTATTGCGGGGTCAGGCATCCCGCCTGACCTGACACGAACACATTTAGGATTTGTATTGCTAGTCATACATTTATATATCAGGTATGAATACGGTACATTGATTATATCCACGGGCGGATCAATGGTCAAATGTGAAGGAAACTGCTGACAATGGGGCGACCTCGATAACATGCTGTGAGGTGAACATATGTTCCAGTATCTGTGGAATTCCAATCATACAATACAAGAATTCAGGACTCGCTATTGTCCGATGTTCTAAATGTACTAAACCGGGATTCTGATTGGTTGTATGTATATTTTGTATTCAATTAATACTGACTGCTTTAACACCTGCTTCTGCCATTTCTCGACGTGTGTCTCTCTGTCTCTCTCTCTGTCATTTCTCTCTAAAATCTCTCTGTCTCTCTCTCTCTCTCTCTCTCTCTCTCTCTCTCTCTCTCTCTCTCTCTCTCTCTCTCTCTCTCTCTCTCTCTCTCTCTCTCTCTCTCTCTCTCTCTCTCTCTCTCTCTCTCTCTCTCTCTCTCTCTCTCTCTCTCTCTCTCTCCCTCCTTCCCTCCCTCTCTCTCGTCAACAGAATGGTACATTTTCGATGGCCGAAGTACATGTAATTTGGTCCGCATGAATTGGAAGCAGAAATCGTACATTCGTATTGAGGTATTATATACGTAGGAATCACTACAATCAAGTCTAACCTTATCTATGCCCAGATTTAAAAAAACAGTATTAGTGACAACATATTGAAATACGAAATGTCAAGATACAACCGTTTACCTGTTCACCATCGTCAACACTTCCTGGTGTGTATACACTACATCCCTCCATCACCTGTAAATACGGCTGGTACAGAATGAAAGTGCAGTAGGCTAATGTGCTCCACTATAGCTCGTTGAAAACAGCCACCTTTGGACGTATTGCAGTCGGGCGATGTTAGCTGAACGGGATTGGTCAGCGCATGCGCTGGCTTCTCTCATTCTCTCAGTTTGGGAGTCTTTGGTTGATTCGTTAGCTAACAAGGGCGACTACTCGGCATAGCTGTTGTTTTTATTCTGAGCAAGTAGACGAAAATTGTGTATAGAAATCCACGACATATGTGTCTGTCTGGATAACTAAAGGTCGGTGATTCGATCCCCCGTCGCATCCTACTAAACGATGCTACGTGTTCTCACCTTCCCACGGTATATATAGGGGAATGACAAGGGACTGGCACGGAGTTAGTGGAGTGAGTGTCAGTTGGGAATCTATGTAGGAACAGCCACACAGACAGCCACACAGACAGCCACACCTGCTGTCACGTTCTTACAGTGAATCGTAGAGTGTGTGAGATAGAGAGAGAGGGAGGGGGAGAGAGAGGGAGAGAGAGAGATAGAGGGAGAGGGAGAGAGGCAGAGAGAGAGGGAGAGACACAGAGAGAGAGATAGGCAGAGAGAGAGACACACAGAGAGACAGAGAGAGAGAGAGAGAGAGGCAGATAGAGAGAGAGAGACCTACTTAGATTTAGTCGGAGAAACGGCTGATGGTGATGGTGATGAAACAAATGATGTCCAACCCCACAACACGAATACAATATGCATACAGCCGCTAACGTGTCAAATATTAGCAACAAATGATCTCAAATACTGTACCCTCAAATGGAAGATGCATCTGGGCTGTGAGACGTTGTGTCCGGGCTGCCCATGCTGACCTCGATTCGGATCACCGCCGACTCTTTGAAAAACATCACAGGGCAGGAATGGGCATCAGATCAGTGAAGATACATTTCCCATGAGACCTTGTGCCACGATATTCAAGCTGTGTTTCCCTGCGAGAAGTACATTCACTGATGAAAACATATTCACACTTCTTAACCTTGTCAGAACAACCTTTTTAGAGTGACATTGAACAGGGTTCTTTCCGTACAGTAGGGCAACCGTGTGAATGCACAAGTCGTTCCATACACCACCGGCCCCAAGCCCAGCCGACAAACAAACTATTTATACGCCTAGGTTGTTCAGTAAAACGCTATCATGTGCACGACCAAAACATGGTGTGTGTATTCACACGTTAACCTGCCAGCTATTGTGCTTTCCCTTGGGAGGGGGAAGGGAACCTGGGTGGGGTGGAAGGGCGCACGTCCTCTCGCTTTGCATATATTGTAAACAGATTTATACATTCGAGATATAAATAATGGGATAAACTAAACGGTTTTCTCGACATATTTTCAGCAGGATCACTCACAGTGATTTGTCAAGTCAGCAAATGCACCGATTATCTCAAAGAAAAAACAGGTTGTGTCCGCACTGGCTCTGTCCTGCCAAATAGCCAAACACAGTAGGGTCATATCTCATAGCGAAACACGGTGGAGCCATGTCTAATAGCGAAACACGGTGGAGTCATGTCTAATAGCAAAACACGGTGGCGCCTTGTCTAATAGCAAAACTCGGCAGGGTCATGTCTAATAGCGAAACACGGTGGCGTCATGTCTACACGACTACACGACTATGTCAGGTGATTTTTTTTACATACGGCGGTGCCATATGTCTAAAAGCACAATCACAACCTTATAGACAGCTCAAGCACTGTATTGTCATGATTACTGTGATGACATGTCGATTAGAGCAAACGCTGTGATGTCATGAATACATAAACAAAAATATTGATCACGCCGAATTTTGTGAAAGGTACAATATTTTATCAGAAGTCCAAGGTAGTTTAGAAAGGGCTATAGAACTACTGATCATATCGTTTCTCTTTATGCCATAGTTTACCTATTAAAATATAGAAAGAAAAAACACTTTCTTGTACATTTATCCATTTTGAGAAGGCCTTCGACATTGTCTGGAGATTCGGCTTATGGCGTAAATTGAAAAATGGTGGTGTACAAGGACAGTTCTTTCATGTTATACACAATATCACAGTATAAAATCATGTGTGAAAGTTACGGGTTCTATCACTGACTTTCCCTTTCAATACAGGAATAAGACAAGGGGATAACCTATGGCCAATACTCTTTAGTTTATATTTAAATGACATGGAGACTTTCCTCGGTCCAAATGGTAGTGACGGGAAAACTCTTAACTCAGATTCATTGGCTGTTTTCACTGATGCGTCAGTTGTATTCGTTGTTTTACACTGTGCAGATGACACTATTCTGTTTGCACAAAATCATGTAGATATGCAAAAGAAATAAGATTTAGATAACTTTGAAAAATTGTGGAAGTTTTGGAAACTGAAAGTAAATGTTTCCAAAACAAAAACAATTATATTTGGAATAAATATGAAACTATTCCATTAGAAATACATGGAAGAAAGTTGCAGTTGTGAATGAATATAAGTATTTGGGAATTGTTTTTCATAGATTAAATAAATCTAACACAACAAGGAAATCCCTTACGGAGCAAGCAACAAAAGCTGTGCATTATAACCTTCAAAAGGGAAGGTCTAATAGCCTATACATACAGTGTCATCTTAAACTACGCGTGAAGACTTCGTTACTCCAACGAGTGTGGCCTTAGATTCAAGCCACACATTGGTTATTTAATATGCTCTGGTCAGAGGGATCACATCACTATAGATTAAAATGCAAACAGAGGGGCAATAGACAGCTTGGACATTGTCAGCTGCTGATCATGAACTATGATAAAATTCAATCTGATTGGCCAATATATTATATGGTTGAGATATATGTGTTTTTAGGACTTAAGAAGTATTGAGAAGGTACATTAAAATGATATATGGTGAGTTTGGTAAAACACCTCAGTATATACAAGTGTGCACACGTATGATAACATACTGGGCAGGAATTTATCAGGAAAAACATCTTCACTTTCATACATGTCACAAAACTTGAGCAAGTGGATCTGTACGTCAGAATCTATCTTTAGAAAGACCGGTCTTATGTACACTTGACATTCTCAAAATTTGAACTCTGTTCATACCATGCAGAAAGTAGTGATTGAAAGACTTAAAGATAATTTTGTCCAAACCTGGTTTTCTGAAGTCTATAACTCTAAAAAAGTCACTACATGCAGAATCCTTAAATCCGAGCTTTTTATAGAACCGTATTTTAGTAAGTACCCTAAAAGCCAGTGGTATTCACTTATTCAAATTCGGCATCATGCCACAGATTACCAGTTGAACTCGGCAGATGGAATAATATACCCTTAATGGAAAGAACCTGTATCCTATGTCAGGATAACTGCGTTAGTGACGAATTGCCTGCGTTGTGAGTGCTTGAGCGAATATTAAAAAAACCTGTTGTCACCATACTTTTACGTTCATCCAAACGTGTTAAAACATGGTACTCTATATAAAAGTAAGAACAAATCTGTACTTACAAGTTAAGTAAACACTGCTCTCTCCTTATGCTAAGCTACAAGTCCACTGGATAAGCAATAACTCTAATCTACCCTGTTCATGATGTGTTTGAGTTCGTATGTACATAAATATAGCCCATTGTCCTACCACCAGGCATGTCTTTTTAATTAATATTATACATGGAGCTTCATATGGACTGAAAGCAATAAATGTTCTGTTCAAGGGCGACAACACGGCGGTGTCATGTTTCGGCAGGTAAATGCAACGGCATTGTGTCTAATAAAACGACGAATAGAGCGAAAATAACAGTGTCATGTCTAAACGCGCATCCACAACCGACGCAATATAAGTGAAACAGAACGAACATACGGTGCCATGTCTGATAGAGCAATTCGAGGTGAGGCCTTCGCTTGAAGCCACACATTTGTTATATAATATGCTCTGGTCAGAGGGTTCACATCACTGTAGATTAATATCCAAACAGAGGGGCAATGGACAGCTTGGACATTGTCAGCTGCTGATCATGAATTATGATAAAATTCAATCTGATTGGACATACTGATCGGCGGCTAACGGGACATTGTCCAGTTAAACATGCTGGATCTATTGTTGGGGAAAGGCTGCGATATGGGCTGTGATGTAACTGCAATATGTTCCAAGCGTTATACCAAGTCATGAACTTTTCTGTGCCCTAGGACAGTCTTCATAGCAATATGTAGATCCACATTCGTCCCACGTTCTTTCAAGAAGATAATGTACTTTGACTATATTGAATAGTGATAATAGACAAATAAACTTATACAGTTGTTAATGGGTCATCAAACGCTGAACACAATATACAACACAGATACAAGACAGTAATTGCGAATTCAGTTTTCTATATATTTGTCACTTGTTTTACAATAACTGCAGATCATGGATTTGACAGTTTGGTGAAAACAAACACCTTCTCAGTAATGTTCAAAGAAGACTATGACAAAATAACAGATGTCATTTCAGCTAGGTGTAAATCAACAACAAAAGAAAAGAGAGCACATAGATTACTGCAAAACTTTGTTATCCTTTATATCGGTGGTCTGAAGAAATTAATGCTGCAAAAATAATGTTTGATCTTTTAATTACCTAAATGTTTTAATGTGTTACATCGTATCAAGATACTGCTTTTTCAGAATAAACATTAATCAGGATATCTCTCGTTTGGATTATCTTGTAATCTGTGCCCATTCCATTGGGAATGTGCAAATTGAATCATGAATTGCCCCGTTCCGGGGAATGGGGTAGAGCGGTTGCTCAAACGAAGGGAATGAGCAATTCCAGGAACTGGGCACGACAGATGTACTCTAGTGTGGACCAGACTTCCCTGGGGTTGACATCACGAGCAACAATAAACGTCGTCGGAGCACGTAACAGAATCACGGGGTCACCCGAATCACCCGAACATTGCTTCTACCTACATACCATGCTGGGGAAAATTTCCATCTCAGAATCCAAATGGTGGATGTGCTGAATGCAATATGATTATATCTGAAAGCATTGTGGAGAGGTAAACGTAAATACTGTTGTTTTAAAGATCGGTCGAACTGTGAAGAACCCGAATTAGTCCTGAGGAACATACCATTCTTGTGGTAAGAGGGAAACAACGGGATCGAGAGTCCAGCCTCGGTTACTTGCTTGATACTATCATGATACATGGTATTGTATCACGTTTGTGCAGACCGATTCTTTTGAAGTTGGATTGTCTGGTCCAAACTCGAGTACTTACAGACTAAAAAACTGGGTGGGGAATTAACCAAGAAACGAAGACGTGGTAACAACAGTAGAACAACATGCATCCTGGTACCTGTAAATAGATATAATAGGACAGGAATTTACAAACGCATTCAAATGAATTTGCTGCATGATGACTCTGACCAACGAGAGTAATGCGGTTTTTATGCGTGTGTAAACCAGTGCGGGTTTTTAAAATTCATCTTGCTACGTTCCCTGTTATTTCGACTATAATAACTAAAAATAGGCTTAAATAAGGTCTGAGCTGAAGGAATTATTGCTTGCAACTCACACATGTGTGATCCACACGGATGCTAAAGCTCGGCGTTCAGTCAGTAGGAATTTGGGACAGTGACCGGCCGTTGGTTGCGGGATTGAGCCTCCTGATACAACGTGTTGAGTGTCAGGCCCCACCATCAACCAGATGTTGCATGACGATAACTAAAAAGGAAAACTATGTTATTCATACCTGTGTCTGTCTGTGTACAGTTTCAGATCTATCCAGTTACACAGTCCTGGCAGTAGGATTGTGGCATCATACTTGGTGAAAGGTTTTACGCAGCTACCAGCAACAACCCGGCCATGGAGCTGCTACATCAGAAGGGCTTCACGCACAGCGCCTTTGTAGGGAGGAGAGAACGTGGATTGCAGACACAATGTGCTCAATATAACCCCACTGACGCAATACTCAGCAAATGTCTCTAATACATGTGACACTAACCTGTTCATAAAGTTCGAAAGCTTGGCTGACGGCTGAGTCTCACGGCTGACTGATTCTCACGAGAATCATTTCAATGACAGCTGTTGTCATGTCACCCTGACATTGCTTGGTGTGTACAGCTGGCTTAACACCAGATCTTCGTGACATGTGCTTGTTACTGTAACACAGTATTACCAATGTCTCCTCCCTTTGCCCTACTACACCGGCCTCGCCATCACATGCCTGCTACTGGCTTCAACATCACCTTGTAGAAAACTATGGCCACAGGAGACATACGCCATATCACACGAAGCATGTACCAACATATCATGAAGGGAAGCTACTCTCATTTCAATTAGCCGAATTTGTTTTATGTACAGGAGGCGAGTTTCGTAACGTAAACAATATTCTCATTTCCTTGCACGTAATACCAAATCGCTTGGTAAAGGGGGCTGTTAACACCAAGCCATTATATTAAGTTACCAGTTATTTGATAGTTTGGCGGGAAGGGACAGGAATGTTTGTTTTGGAAGAAATGATTTGGTGCAGAAAATACCAGAAACAAATAATTTGTCTCCATTGTGTTGTTTATGGTAAACATTTTAATATTATTTCATAATAAACAAGAAGCAAATGTTCTTAATGTCAAACAACATATTTTTTCTGTCAAAGGAAAAGATGCTTGTTTTGAAGCAGGAGCATATCTCAAAGAATCCAAGCCTGATTCAAATAGCAATATGGTACTTGGTGAATATTATTATTATTATTGTTATAGGATATTTATATAGCGCACATATCCAGGGAAAGCTAATATGACCGATATCAAGAAGAATGATAACATCTACAGGCCCAGATCACCACATCGTGCAAACAGTTGATGAAGTAGGCACATATATATTAACCTCAGCAACATTTACATAATCAATACAGTTTCAACATCTGGATTTGAGTAGGGCGGGATGATATATCTGACAACAAACTGGGATTATATGAGAGTTTCTCTCAATACAGGAGCTCCTCTTCCTTCAGCAACTTCAACTGTATGATTCAAGTACACGTCTTTGTCACATGTTAAACACGTCTGTCATGTGAACGGTGTTTACACTATGGGAGGATGCTATCAATATTCAGATGCAATAATTATCGATTTTATTATGGAAATACATAAAAGCCACAAACCTGTCCACACCCATATGCGTGAGTATGGTTTTCGCCACTTTAAGCTATATCCCAGCAATATCACGGCATGGGACACCAAAAGTGGACACATTGTACGCATGTGGTGAATCGAAACCGGGTCATCAGCGTTACGAGGTTTAACCATTAGGTTACCCCATCGATCGCCCCACATTCATATGAAATTTCTGCTAAATGCAGAGGAAATTGTACGATTCCGACAACATAATTACTATTGTACCTGATGAGTGTGTGCTGATGAATCACCACCACATAGTGATGATACCAGGTGAACGCATCGTGCCCCACCGGAGGCACTTGTCATGAACACACGCAAAGGCTTGTCAATTTTCACCTGAAAAAACACCGGAACGCATGTGGGCATTAAATACCGACGCCCATGTGTGCACCTCGCTCAAGAGAGTGGACCTGATTGGTGCTGAACTCATTGTCAGCATGCTGTGTGTACGAATCATACAAAAACTGAATGTTGAGAAATAAACACAAAGAACTTTGCACCCCCTGTATTGTTTCAATGATAGGTTTTCAACACGTACATAAAACGTCTCGTGGCGACCACCATGTCTGCAAAAGTATGGCCGTTTAATGTTGAATTTATTTGTGAATGTGAACATTCAGAATGTCATTTTGCGCGTCTTACACGATTCAAAGTTAATACCAAGTGTAAGCTTCATGGTGCCAGTATGGCAGCCAGCATTCTCCTCCTCATAGCCCCTGTCAGCCTCCTGATCCTCTGAAGGGACAGTCTATGCCATTCCTCGTGTTAAGCAGCTTGCATTTTGGCCAAGTTCTGTCAGGAGGATCCCTTTATTGCACTCGACGACCAGTCATGCTCAAAAGGGTTAAGATCGGACCCATTCAATCGTAAGAAAATATTATGTCTCGGGGTGCTTAACTAAGTTCTTTGTGTATATGTGGGTCCTAGCCAACTGTCAATCAAAGTAGGACTGTCCGACATGGACAAGTTGTATTTGCTTATTTGCTCCTCCTGACAAGAACTGAAACACCATATCCACAAAATGAAAGCATGTCACTTCATTGGTTGTTTGATCAAATATATTTTACGTGGGTATCAAATACATTGATGCATATTTATCCTCGGAGTTTCAGGACAGATTGTCCAAAAATAAACCAAATGGCATCTGACATAATCATAGTCACATTTCCTCGATTATAACAGAACCACATAAAGTCATGATTCAAAGTTTGCGCAGGCTATTTCGATGTTTGCCTGCTTGCAGAATGGTACACACCCGGACTTTGAATGAGAATAGAAGCGACAAAACCCTTTCCATATTCATAAGAAACCTCTGCTGGAAGCAGAGTCGATTGTACAATTGTGACCATATCATGAGCACATAAACTCTGTCAAAAAAGAAACGCAACCCCTGTCCTCAGATATGAAAAAATTCGTTTGAATGAAGTTATTGCTTCCAAACTAAATTTTATTCGAATGTATTGAAATGATACACGTAATTAATGAAGATTACCATCCAAACAACTGCATTTGTACGCATAAGTGTATTTTATTGCTTATTCCGTCACAACGCATGAAATGACCCTCATGGTGACTTCGCACAAAAAAAACACATGCAAATCATGAAAATGGCAGTTAATGTAAGGGTGTATAAAAGCCCATGTGCTTCCGTATTATATTCATTCATTTGTCGCCGAAAAGCTGTGTTAAAAATGCCACGATTGAGTGCTGCCGACCGAAATATCGCCATTGGTCGTGTTCAAGCCGGAGAAAGTTTTGGAACTGTTGCACGGCACCTAAATGTTCACAAAACAACGATATCCCGACTTTGGAGCCGCTACAACAACTTCAATTTGACCAACGATCGCCCGAGAAGTGGAAGGCCAAGAATCACGACCCCCCTTCAAGATCGGTACATCCGGGTCCATCACCTGCGTAATCGGCATGCCCTACCAACCGTGACTGCCACACAAATACCAGGTTTGAGGAGAGTGTCAGCTCAAACGATTAGGAACCGTCTGAAAGAAGCGGGTTTACGTGCCTGTAGACCAGTTGTTGGACCTGTACTACGCCCCCTACATCGACGCCGACGACTCAGGTGGTGCAACAACGTAAGGATACGGACTTTACAAAACTGGAGGCGAATCTGGTTTTCTGATGAATCACGTTTTCTTTTGCAACGTCACGACGGAAGACAGCGTCTGTATAGGAGACGTCATAAACGTTTTGCGCCCATCTGCATCCGACAGGTGGACAGATTTGGCGGAGAAAGCGTCATGGTTTGGGGAACCATCTCATACAACCAGAAATCAGACTTGGTGATCGTTCCAGGGAACCTGACAGCCCAACGTTACATCAACCACGTGTTAGAGCTTCACCTTCTCCCGATTATTGACCAACAGACACAGATTTTTCAACGGGACAACGCCCGGCCTCATACTGCACGTGCAACAATGAACTTTCTGCAGAATTCCAACGTCAATGTCTTGCCATGACCCTCTCAATCACCAGACCTCTACCCTATTGAACACCTGTGGGATACTCTGGATCGACGCGTACGTCAACGTCAGCCGCCGCCACAGACGCTGCAACAGCTCGCCGTTGCACTGCAGGAGGAGTGGAGAGCCATTCCCCAGGAAAGAATCCGGCGTCTTATCCGTTCTTGTCCAAGGAGATGCCGTGCAGTGATTGCAGCGCGTGGTGCTCATACGAGATACTGAGAAAGACGCCCCCCTGGTGACAAACTGGTGTCTGTGAGATGACTTTTGAAATGACAATTTTAAACATGCCCATCTGGGTTATTATTCTGCCAAATTTCAGACTTCTGTCTTAAATAATAAAAATGCCGTGTCGTCCTCAAACTTCAGATCAAAATCTCTAAAATACAGGGGTTGCGTTTCTTTTTTGACAGAGTTTATTTGTTTCAGCAGTATAACAGGTGTATGATGTTGTTTGTAAACAAATTGAGTCTGGACCAAAAATCCCAGTGATTGTCACCATGAGATACGATGACAGAGCATTTGTTTATGAATCACCATGAAATAGTGATGCTACCAGGTGTTCGAGAAAAGGTGAGCGCATCCTGCCTCACCGGTGACACCCGCCATAAACTTATACATAGTCAAGTCAGTTGTTCATCTGAGATAGTTTGGGAACGTATAGTACAAGTCAAAATAGGGAATTGCATCGGACATAATTTTTGTCACTGATACATTAAATCTCGAAATATCCTCCACATGTCTACCATAAAGCTTTCGAAAGCTTTACTGAGGCCTTACATGTTGCAACCTTGATCAAACAACTTCTGAGCAAGAACGGTATGAGGCTCTTTGAAATCTTGTTAAGAAGAGTATGCTCGATTGTACCTCAAACGTTGTGAAATGTAAATAAAGGCGGGAGCTTATGGAATATTGCTCGACATGAAAGTAAAGTTGACTATTGGGAAGTTGAAATCATCCCTTTTGTCACACAGCTTTGTGGGAAGGTTTAGTTTTTTTTATCACTCTGAATCTTTATGCATAGATTTAAACATGAAACATTTGAGGCAGTCTCACTTGTCTCCTTGATGTCAAGTTCCACAAAGTGCTCAAGTTATCGTAACTCTCATACTTTAACATAGAGCTACGACAGTCGTAGCGCTAAGATGATCGTAACTCTCATACTTTAACATAGAGCTACGACAGTCGTAAAGGCCCTGGGCCCCGTTCCTCAAAGCGATCGTAGCGCTACGACAGTCGTACGTCTATGTTAAAGTATGGGAGTTACGATCATCTTAGCGATACGATCGTTGTGAGGAACAGGGCCCAGGTGGGTACAGCAGTGGTCCCAGGGAATTGGCTAGTTGACGGTTATTGAACGATACACAACACACGACGACGAACACAACGACGAACAACACTCGACGATTGTTTGTTTAATTGGTGCTCAAACAGACACTTTTGTTTTACAGTTCAAAACGCTTACGCACTGCCACAGCTTCTGAAAATCAACAACTACGCTGCAAACAAGAATGGCGCCAGACATTGTGCTGTTCATGTCACCATTTTGGAGAGATAAACTACAAAACCCACACACGACAATCAAGAGAACTCTCTACAGATGGATCCAGGGTTTATTGTATCTGTAATCGGTTGTGTTCAATTTATGTGCTCAGTACCTGACAC